TAGTCCAAACATTTTTTTCAACTGGTTAAAGATTGTGACCACCTTTGTCAATCATGGGAGGACACGGTACACGACAGAGAGGCCTGTACTGGCTGTCCAAGCAGGTTGCAGCTTTGAGATAGGACGCCTCGCAAAATTGCAGATAACATTATCCATCCCGAAAGAATTCAGTCCTCCCCCCCCCAATGAAGCCTCGGCTATTTGGAATTGCTGTCATTCTGTCATTCTACGGATAACATTAGGCGCGCGGTTAATAAAGCAATCGATTACCATCGTGTCTGTTCTAACCGGCGTGATCCTATGCCGGAAAAGACACAGGTACCTAGTGTTTGGCCATCATGTTTAGACCGGCCCACTCACTTTTACCCACCGATCTTGTTCTTTTGGGTTCACGTCAGCACCGCATTTGGCTACGCGCAAACCATCTGTGGCTGTCCCACAGTACTCAGACATCCAATGGTTGACGACTGTTGACCAGCAAATCCGATTCGGATGTTCATTCGTATGAGTTTGAGCCGGACAGAAGTATCAGAACAGTTTTTGACGTTCATGCTAAGTTTTTCTTACTTGGTGCGGTTGCTTGAAGCAACGGGTTTTATGGTATGATCCATTCAGGTGGGTTCCCTTGTTCTTTTCGATATACGACGAATTTTCTGGAGAAAATAAGTGAAACATGTCTCAGCTTCAAAACTACAGCTGATATGTAACGGTATCCACTGAAGCATGGAGAACCAAGAAACGAGTAAGGTTACGAACCTGACTTCAAATTCTTACTGAACTTGTGATGTAGTATTCTAGCAGAGAATGACGGAAATGCAGTTGCCTGCTTTCGTACCGATATATTTTCTATAAACAGCCAACACCATTTTAACATTTTCAGTCATGCATTATGCAGTTTAGTGTTTGCCAAGAACTACTGTAATAGCTTCTCAATCGATAGCATCCATACCCTTACAAGATGAAGCGACACGGTAAGACTAAGGCTCCATCAAAAGCGTAAGAGTGTGACAACTGAATGACTCTTGGATTTATTAATTTACTTCATAAGAAATCTGTTGTTTTTGTGTTTCATGCCTTTCCCTATTTATTTCGTTTGGAAGTGAATTCATGCCTGACGGTCTAACTTCCCGAATTCGGCTTATCTGTGAAGTGACTTTCATTCCAGTCTCCATCCAAATCGCATCCACTGTTTTGGCTTCTTTTGAGCTGTTCAAATGGTTTTGTCAACACCATTTTAACATTTTCAGTCATGCATTATGCAGTTTAGTGTTTGCCAAGAACTACTGTAATAGCTTTTCAATCGATAGCATCCATACCCTTACAAGATGAAGTGACGCGGTAAGACTAAGGCTCCATCAAAGGCGTAAGAGTGTGACAACCGAATGACTCTTGGATTGATTAATTTACTTCATAAGAAATCTGTTGTGTTTGTGTTTCATGCTTTTCTCTATTTATTCCGTTTGGAAGTGAATTCATGCCTGACGTTCTAGCTTCCCGAATTCGGCCTATCTGTGACGTGACTTTCATTTCAGTCTTCATCAAAATCGCATCCACTATTTTGGACTCTTATGAGCTGTTCCAGTGGTTCCGTCAGGATTAATTATCCAGTAAAGAAAATTAGTTATGACAACAGACCAATGCTGCGAATTAGATTATTTGTCATTCCTCTGTAGTCAAAAGTAGCCAAACCACAGGACGACCTGTCTTCAGCTCGCACTCACGTATGCACATGAAACACATAGTCTGTGGTTCAAAACGATTGAAACTAGTCTGAACTGTCAAAAATTCAGCATTTTCCACATTTGCATTATCAGAATGATTGAAATGAAAGTATAAAACACAGGTCTAAAAGTTAGGTTAGTGGTTTAGATCGGAGCACGATCGAGCAAGATTTGCATGCAACAACGTAAAAATTGTCTGAGATCTCGAGCCTTAGATTCAGGCTCCGCAAACTCAGACACACAATCTAACGTGAAGAAGCAGCACGTCAAAAGTATTCGTATTTCCAGACGAAACTGTAGCATTTACATCCATAATCAATAGAAGATTCTGCTTAACAGGACAGCGTCCTTACGACTGACCTAAACGATATTCATTACATCAGTGGTGCACAGAAGCATCTCATTTTTCATGATAGGTGTTTGAGTACCTGAGCTTTCCGACAGATTACAAATAATCGACTGATATTACATTACTTTGAGGTTTTCTTGGCATCTTTTGGGATGTAACGGAAACGAAGGCATGAGGTCTTAAGTGGGGCATAACTTGGCCCTAAACGGTCTACTTCGCCATAGCCAGGCAGAAATAAATCACCAAGCCGGATGGTGTAAATGTATCTTGATTCTTCGAAATGGAGGTCGAGTTGCAGGACCGAAATTGTCATCATTTCCCATTCAGGTTTACCGGACATTAGCATTTTATCCATTTATGGTAAAATACTCGGGACTGAGATAAATGAGTTACTTCAGAGAGCCAGGTCCTTCTTCGGAAGTAACGAATTCGGATACCATTTTATTGTACAAGATAAAACTTTTCACACTGTTGAATGCCAACTGGATCGTTACTAATGTTTCGGGCAAATTAATCACTGATAATGTAAATTCAATGGGCATACAGAAAGAGCTTGTATTTTCTGGATTTTTAGGGATTTCATAAGTAAACTTCGGAAGTGGAGAATGGCTGTGGCGTGTGAACTTTACAGTGAAACAAAAGCTGATTTGACCCTGCTATTGACGGTGTGGACCACGTTCTTCCAAAAAATCCAGGAAACAATATTTGAAAGAACTGATGGAGTAGGTTCAAGCGTTTCTTCTCCAAAAACTTTTATGAGCTAGAAAGGAGTAACAGGTAAAGGCGCCTTTAACTTGTGTCAGAGGTTTTGGTGAACAAGCAATGGCTAGAGAAAAAGTGCGTGCTTGGCAAGAGATCACTTGTTCGACGATGTGCCTCCAAACTCAGCGTGGCAGCAAATTTTATCCGTACGGTTATTGTAATAGTGCCGTTTATTGATCGTTTTCTTTCATTTCCATTTTAGCTGTCAGATCAAACCATACTTCAAGTCGGGAGTAATACGAATTGTGACTTTTTAGCGTAACCAATCCACTTCGTAAATGGTTAAGTTTTTTTGAGACTATACTGATATATAAAGTGCCATCCGAATACACGATGAAACCAGTGCATGAAGCCATATCGATTTGAAACGGCTCGTGGAAGCTTTTTTAACGACTGCAGATGAACGTTGTAGATCNATTCAGGTGTTGTTCAGTGCCTAGCTGCCATGTCGAAGGAAGGAAGCACGAGGGCCAGTATACTGCCAAGTTACCCAAGCATAGACAAGAGTAGTAGAGATGATGGGCTTCAGTCCGAACTACTGACCTTCTGGTCGGTACGTCTGAGCAATAAAAGTTAGGCCATCGCGAGCTGGACGTCCATTCTGAAGCAGAAGAAACTCAGGAATATCACACAGATCCATACAAATCAGGATGACTTTATCTTAAACCATGCATACATTTTCATTGTCAGCTCTACAGCAGCGGATTTACTGAGTAATACTGCAGCGTGTTCTAGAATAAGCTCTGCAAGGGGAGCGAGTAGCATAGCTGATCCTGATTACCTCCAAAGATCGAAATTATTCTGATACCCCACGTTCTGAAGGATGTCACATGGTATTCAGGGATAGACTGGGCTGTTTGACATGTGGTGCGTGAAAATACATTTCCATCGGTCGACGATGATGCATCTTCGTCTGGGTGGTCCTCTGGAAAGCCGACTGGAAACTGAAATTTAACACACTTATCCTTCTACTGAAATACAGCTGGTCGTTTTCACTTCTGATTTGCATCGGAACACCAGCTATCAGACGGACTGTTTAGTTCGTTAGTATTCGCGCTACTTAACAAATGTCTAGTAGTATGAACTAGCTGTTTACATCCATCTTGACGTTCAACGTCCAAAAGTCTGGGAACCTGGCCGTTAAATTGAGTGGCGCTGTCCAGGACAGGGGAGATTGTTTATAACTGTACGGTGACGTTTCCCCAATGTAACGTCGGAAAAACCAAGTGATCTGAGTCGTATGAATTGTGACCCTAATAAGGAGGGAACGATGGCTTAAAACTTACGTTGGAATGTGGGCAGTTTTGTCTTAGAATTAATTGAAATGAGTGCTTACGTAGAGGGGCACTATACACATGTTACCGCTCTAATGACAACTAAAATTGTTTTAAGACATCTAACTCTTGTTATGTACCTCAATTCTAATGGGAATTGCTTGTCTCCTTGACTGTGTCCCTGAAGCCTTCCTACAGAATCCAGGGACCTCAAGAAAGTGGGACATTGAATCTGCTTCTTAGGTTTTATCTATGGCCTCAACGCAGCATCACTCCCCAGCTATTGCAATTTTTTCTTGTTAGACAGGAAGGTGGGTAGCTGCTGATAGAGCGCGTTTTTTACTGGATCGGTACTAGAATTGGTTGGAGTATGATATACCGTAAGTATATAGGAATTTTTGGTGTCGTAGTCAGTGTAAATTCAGCTGTCAACTGAGGCCTCCACTCTCAAAGTAGGTGATCTGAATCCACCTCGTCCAACCTTTCAACTGCTTATGCCCGGGCATGGAGAATCGGAAGGAATTTTAGCTATCAAGTTTTCTTCGGGTTGCGCGGAACCAAAGAACTGATGGTGTCACAGTTGAACGTTTTTTCCTCTTCTTTCGAAGATTACAACAAAATGTCTTTGGACAAATCTAAACGCAGCAGAAGCCTGTCTGGAGAATTGACATCCCTGCGCTACAAGATCATCTGTCAAACTGCTCTTCCTTGAGTTAGTTAACCGAAAACGAACTACCTTCAGTGACACATTTGGATAGAAAATGTCACGGTTAAGTCATGGCTAGGCTGAATGCGATTATTTACGGTTGACTGCGTTCGTCACGCAGGAATGAGGTCTCTCTAGCGTGATTACCACGTAATCCGCCTACGTAACGTAAACAAGTGTCATAACATGCAGCTTGTATATAGTTATGTATTTGAAAACATCAGTACTATTTACACGTGACATCATTACAGTTTGCTTCAAGGACTGGACCTTATGTACGAAAAAAGAATGGCTTAGTGTTTTCGAAAGACGTAAAGGGCGTAACACCCGAAATTCGGCCAATCGAAGCTCTACTTATGTTTCTTATTTCTCGACTTTCGAGACTTCGAATCCTCCAGTGGCATTTGCCTACCCAGAAAACCACGAGCCATCAAAAGTTGTCTCGCCACATTGTTGATATGCTTAAAACGGTCAGGGCCAAGTTGAATTCCTCCATACCACCGCGATACCTGAAATGGAGAACAAAAGGTAACTAACGCGTGCAACAGTTTCCCACGCTACTGGATTCAACTTTGGAAATTCTGGCATAAAGCACAAGTGGCGATGTCTACTTGTATGGTGCAGAAACGTCTACAACATAACTACGGAGCCCGGTGAACAGACCAACTACAAATGATCAACAGCTAATCAACACACTCGGGCTGCCAGTACTCAGACACATGGCCACCATATGTCTCTCATGCGATAAACAGTACTCAACACAAGCATCGTCAATTTTTGGAAGGTAGAGAATGATGTAGGGGTGTTAGCTATATTTTTAATTCCACTGCAGTTAGTAAGGCGTTTCGTTTGAAGCAAACCAGTGGGAAGCAGAAGAAACGATCCGCAGGGACCAAGGTTGAACAACACCATATTCGCAGTGTAAGGTATCCTGTGCAGGCGTCTTTCGATTAGAGCTCACTCACCATCCCTGCGATGTCACATACATTCAATTTGTACATGTCACGTGGATTATTAGGCTTGAAAACCGCAGAAGTTATTGTGGAGAGCGAAGTCACGGTGTGCCGAGCTAGTGGGTAGCAGATCAGAGTGGATATGAACGGGACGGTGGACAAATAGGAAATACAATATAAGTGGAAGTTAGGCGTGATGTGAAAGGTCCGTTTTCTTTACTTGCCGAAGCCGGCGTCCTCAGTTTGAGTGTACTTGAGAATCCAGTCACATAGATCGAACGAAGGGACACCTCGAAACTCAAAATACAGATTCTAATGTTGCGTGCACTATGTTTGCCAGGCTGACAGAGTGCATTATAGTTTACTTGTCACCTCTTTACTAAGTCCTTGGAACTGGTGTTCCGGGGTGACTCATACTGAATATACATTCAGTCCAATTCAATTTATCAGCTGCCAGCTGGTACATTGGTTCCAGCTGCTACAGTTTTGATCACCGGAAAACGGGACAAGGTGGGACATGAGGCCAAACCTTTGATGTGACGGCATGTTCAGCGATCTATTTACTGAATTTGTATATAATGTATACAATGAAGTTATGGAACTCGCAGCACCTCAATCAGTTCCACGGCTCAAAAATTTTTCTATCCTATCTAATTAGATGAACTGGTGTTGCACTGAAATAGAACACCTATGAACTACTCCTACTTCGATGCTCCAATACCTACAAACATACATTTCAATTTGCTGCAGGATGATTCTTCCTACCCATGCATTCCCCGTCAACATCGTTGTCGTCGTTAGCAATATCTGACAACGAAAGTAAACTCCAGATTGACACACTAAAGAACACCCCATTAGCAGAGGGGTGGATAAACCATGTTGCCTAAGGGTTACAGAACCAACAGAAGCAGTGGTGTACGGAATAAAGAATTTAAAAGTTCGAGATTTTATCGAAACCATTATGAGCCAGAGCAGCAGAGAAAATATTCGTACCATCACGGCTACATTCTCCACACTAGAGATGGTCAACAGGTGAAGCAACCTGGACCCAGCGTGTGTTTCTCCATCATCGTCGCAGTCTGCATGCACTACAGAGGATGCCGCACCATCGGGTCGAGTTAGTATGCGCCAGGCGAGGATATTATGCGTAGCGGTAGAAATTTTGCGGTCTTCAAGCAAGGTAGAAATAAATCGAGATACTTCACCGATTGTTTTCGCGCGACAGCAATGAGCCTGGAAAGAAGACAATGAATGATGTAGTTTGAGTGTCATGCAAATTGGACTCAACATGTAAAGTTAATGAAATTTAGTTCTGGATATGGAATATATGAATTCAGAGTAAGATTTGCCATACACTTTTGACGCCTCGTTTTTAGCTAAACCAATATACTTACCGAAAACCCGTCCCAGAATTCGGCAAAAACAGCACGTTCGATTGTGGTACCCTTCTGGTGCATAGCTGCTAGGTAAACGATTTAACCCGCTAGGGAGTGAACATCTAGGTTGGCCAATTTGCGGAGTAATCAGAATGCATGTCAGACACCAGTCGTGAAAATCTCAAGCTTTCGGCTGCACAAGATAGCTCTTCTAACTGCGCCGAGGAACACCAAGAGAGTCGATCTCCGGCATTCGTCGTGCAGCTCCAGTAGTTGTTGTAAGGTGAGTGCTATCAATGCGGCCTGTCTTATCGGAACCCTTCTTGTCCCTCATGAATTGATTGCACACGCAAAGTGCACAGTGGTCAAAGCCTACAGATATCAAAATGTTAGATACGGCGTTGATGAGGCTAATACAACGATAGATGCCTCACTGATTACGTTGGTCTATCATTTAGATCGGGAAGATGGTGGCGGTAGAACAATAAGTATTTATCTTTTTTTATAAAAAATGGGAAGATTCATCCGGGCATGGTCTTGTCTCACACGAGATGACCGATTTATCTTGAGAATTCAGATACGGAGTGCGGTTGGTTAGTGTGACTGAAGACACAGGGTCAGTTAAATCACTGTTAGAAGCATCCTACCAAAGATGTCTACACAGGCTAGTTACGAGCTCGTAACCAATGATTGTTCAACTTGTGTTCAGTTGCCTTCCTCCAGTGAAACTGAAAATTTGAGAAAGCTTCCTTGAAATCACAACAGATATTGATTCCACACAGAACAGAGGAATTTCTTCAAAGCGCTCAGCTTTTGTTTGAGCACCTTGTGAGATGGATTGTCTAAACAGTACTCGGATAGAATACTGTCAGACACTTAGACACTGGAGGTACCCACAACAGATCAACCACAAGTGATGAAACCTGAAGGCGGTCTTTACACATGAGGGGGTCAAAGTTGTTGTGTAACAAACGGATGAGACTATGGACTACATAGGGTAGAAAGTGTTGTCATCAGTGCAATGTCCAGACATCTGATCGTTACAAAATTACATAAATGCAGTGTGTGAATTTCACATTCTGGTCTTTGCTAAAATGGCATTTTTCGAAACAAGGACGCTGAGTAATCGTTCGCCGGGGGCTAATGAAGTGGTTTCCCGAGAAGTACTGTGACGGGAATCTGTGTAATGGAGTTATCTAGGGGTGGTCCTTCATGAAGAATACTGCACAATAAATAGTACCTTTCTACGGAAATCATTTTTGATGGCGA